AACACAATTAGTCATCCGATTGAACTACACTCTAAAAATCAGTATGGATTTAACATCACGCGATATTCATATTCTCATTGTACTGATGTTAAAACAGCAACATGATATGGATTTAATAGCATTAGTTTTAAATACCATGATATATGGCTTCATACGATGATGCTGATATAAACAGGTTATAAATCCACACTATGTTATGCACTGAAAACACAAAAAAATGGATTGGAATAACCATAATTTAACTATAATTTACAGTCATTTTTTGGGGACAATCATAAATTTATAATTGTTTTGATCATATAAATTATAGTACCTGAGCTCTGAATTATGATCAAACGACTATAATATGTATTCATTCGACTAAATGTATGATTATTTTACACATAAATCATATAGTAAATTATACTATAAAATGTGATAATATATAAGGTTATTTCTATTAACATAACAATAATAACTATGTATAAGAAATGATGCTTCTAATTATTTTATCATAATTATAATCATAAATACGATATACTTTTCTCTCAGTGTGTTAATGTTAACACTAGCATGATATAAATTTAACATCATGGGGAGTTTTAAATCGACATTATAATGACGCTGTAAGTATCGGAATATAAACACCAGGGATTATAAATCCACGCCGTATTAGTGTTAATATTAACGACGAGAATTATATAGACACTAGACCATGATGTTAAATCTATATTTTTTAGAATATAGAAAAGCAGTATAAAAAAAAATGGACCATGAAAAGTTCTATGTATCGCGAATTGTCTTCATCCTCAGGATGTAAGGAAGAGAACTTCCCTTTTTTATCCCTGATGTTCCTCGGTGCCTTTTAGCTGTTTATTTTGCGAATTTCACATTGCTGCAGGGAGAAGACGAATACACGGACGACTGGAATTTCTAATAAGGGCACATATATACGTCCTGCTTTTGGCATTCGCTCTCATCCTGGTACGCGGAATTTCGCAGATAACGAATCCGTAGATCGCCCGCGGGCTGAAATGAAGGGACGCGCTCTCTTGGATGTAAGAGTGTCGTTACGGCAACAGGGGCGAGGTGGAAAGGGATCAAATCTAATATGTGGTGGAGAAAGGGGATACGCAGTGACGAAGTTTTCGCTGCCGCAGCGAAACTGTCGCCGTGAAACTGCGAGTTTTCACAGAAGCGACACCAGAGCGCTACCGAACTTCGCCAATGTAACCAGTTATTCAACATTGCGGCACCACGATCTTACTGGTCAAACAGAACTTTATTTTTTATTATTTATTTTACAACCCAAAATACAAAACATCCCTCACCACTTGACGTAAACTTTCTGCGTGTGTATATTTGACGAAAATAAATTTACAAAAGTTCTAATGAAAAATATATAATATTTATTTGAAAAGTTTTATTAAAAAATAATATTAATTTTTATCACAATTTTATAATGATTACTTTTCCTTTGGATTTTATTAAGATTTTTTTAAAGAAATGCAATAAATCGAGGATCCTTTATACTTATTGCCAAGGCTGTGTTTATTTTCTGTCGCTGCTTTTTATTACTGCATTAATTTGTCGTTACTTGTAGAACTGCAATATGTTTTCCTCACTCACTTTTCTGTCTCTCTCTCTCTCTCTCTCTCTCTCTCTCTCTCTCTCTCTCTCTCTCTCTCTCTCTCTCTCTCTCCATCCATTTCTCTTTCTCCCTCATTTCTCTTTCAATAATAATCCGTAAATAACGAGTTCATGGTCCCCGCACATTCGTCAATGTTTCGCCCTTTATTTCCGACACACCTTTATTCAATCAATCGCGCTGTGTGTTGTGTTACAGAGACGAACGATGCTTCACGAATGAAGAATGTAGACGAGACAGGGGGAGGGCAAGCGGATCTGCCTGTCGCGGATTCGGAGGAGGACATCGCCGCCGTCTGAAGTCTAATCACCTCGAGCTGCGTCGAGCACCTTCCTCGCGTCTTCCTCGCTGTAAGTATCGGAAAAGAGAAAAAGTAAAAAACAAGTGCGACGAACAGGGAAACGATCCTCGCGGCGAAGAGGATAGAGGGTAGAAGCAACTCGGAAGCTAACGAATCCGATTTTCAAATGGATACGCGAACGTAACTTTATTGTCATACTTCTTACGAAGAAACGAAGTGATTTCGAGAAATAGTATCTTCTGCGTTGCTTATCTTTATATTTGTATTTATAATATTTCTATTAAAAAAATTAATTCTCCAAGCTTTCTCGTAAATATTCTTTAATATTATTTATGAAGCACATATCTGCGTGCTCTACTTTTATTCCACTTTTTAATATTTACTTTTTAACGACAGACTCTGATCGACTCGAAGTCGATTTTTTTTTTAAACATTGAGAGACCAAAATAAAAATTGATAAATTGATAAAAGTTCTTTCACAAACTCAACTTTTGGAGAAATAAATAAAGTTACAAAACTATTTCTCTTTATCGAAATAAAATTTGATGAAATTTATATTTAGATATGTTAAGATATACATCGCTAAAAATTGAAGATAAATGATAATCATTGAACTCTCATTTTTGGCGAAGAAAAATTGACATTTTAAGTTGATGAAAAAATATTTATAGTTAATTGTTTAAGGATGGCATCATCATTGTTAAAAAAAACAGTTTCTTACTGTTTTTGTTAAAAAATAAGGATTTTGTAATAAAGATATTCGATATTCGCATCTACTTGTAGCCTTTCAGACAGGAGAAATATGTTTCAGTGTTCAATATTATAATATATTTTTACCTTTAGTTCTTAAGTAATTGGTACAAATCCCGAATTTTTGAAAGTTGAATTGTTTAACATTTTTTAAGAGAAAGAGACTTTAGAATAATTAAATAAGTCTCTGTTCCAGAAAATTAAAAGAAAAACTTTAGATACGAATATAATGGATCATCAAAATAATTATACAGAAACTTAAGCATGATAAGCAATGTTGTCAAAAATTTCGACATTTTAGCAATCAGCTTGATGACCCAGACACCACAGAATATTTATGACAAATGTTTATTAATATTCATTTTTTTAAATGTTATATAGGTATTTTATAAATATTTTATATAAAGCTTTA